AAGGGCTTCCAAAAGCATCCCTCTATTGGGTTCTTCCTCATTTTTCTTTTGTCTCCCAAGGCTGGACTAGTTGGCTGGGAAGAGTGGCTGGATACTCAGGTGAGGGTCCAGTGACCCTGCTTGGCACTCCTTTAATGAATGAGCACAACCATCAACAAGCCCAATTGTGACTCTGTTTAGTGATCTGGCTCAGGTGATGAAGGTAGTTATTTCATGCAGAAGGGACTGCTGTATAGCATCATCTTATTAAAAGGACCACCAGAGGCAGGATCCGGGAGCTGTCAGGCAGTCCACTGGGTTCTCAGGCCCTCTGGTAGTTGAAGGTCAGAGGGAGGCCAGAACTCCCTGCAGACTGCACTCTGGCAGTCTGTTGAGCTCAGAGCCACTACCCAGATGGAGGTCCAAACCCACCCTGTCAGGTTGTCTGCTAGGATCTCCTCTCTATCTTAACACCTCTCCAAATACACCACCTTGATTATCTAACACCCCCAAAGTTCTAAAAGCCAGGGACTGGAGATGACAAACTACAGTCTTCAACAGCACAGACCTTGTAGCCTGCCCTTCCACCCTGCCCACACAGGGCTTCACCAAGAGACCTTCTATGCCCACCCATGCCCCTCACTCTCCTAGCCAGTCACTGCTGATGACCACTGGGAGCCCCAGTCCCAGCTTCACCAGGATTCTCCCCTGAAGGTAACTCATCCTCTAAGACAGTTGCTTCTTCCCCTCCCTGGAGCTCTCAGAAACCCCAGAGGTTATCACCAAAACACCAAACACATCGCCCCTCCCAACTCTCCTGTCTCCCTCCTCGAGATCCTGAGCTCCCTTAAAGAAGAAACAGGATGGAATCAATCCTTTGCTTTCAGCTCCTGCTCCTATTGAAATTTCTAAAGTAGACTCTAGAAAACGTTCTTGAGGTGGCTGGAGAGATGGCTCAGCAGGTAAGAGCACCAGCTGCTCTTGCAGAGGATCCAGGTTCTGTTCCCAACAACCACATAGTGGCCAACTACCCTCTGTTTAACTCCAGGTTCAGGAAACCCAATGCCCTCTTGTGGCTTCTTCAGGCATTCATTTCTCATTGCAAGATCTGCCACCAGTGCACTAATATGCATGCAGGCTGTAAACACTCATACACATGAAATAAAAATAAACATGCTCTTGAATGGACCAATTAAGCAGCCTACTTAAATAGTAAAACAACTGCAATGTGCTAGAATAACAGTGGCTGTTTCCTCTGTATAGAAGAAAAAAAAGTTTGCTTTTGGAGACAAGGCCCATACATACTCAGTATGTAACCCAGGTATTGTTTTCTGTTGTGCTTTTGTTTGTGGTTTTTGTTGTTATTGTTGTTGTTCTGAAGACTGGGTCTCACTGTGTAGCCCCTGGCTGGCCTCTAATTCAGACAGATCTGCTCACCTCTGCCTCCCAAGTGCTGAGAAGGGCGTGGGCCGCCACACTAGGCTCCCAGGTGAAATTTTAATTTACATCCTTTCTGCTTCTCGGTGTTTTCTGATTCTCTGTAATGAATATGTTTTGCTTTTTCAATAACAAAGAACTCTAGGGAAATTTCCGGGGAGAGGGGTCGAAAACAGCAAAAGGAAGTTGAGAAGTATCTCTTCTTCCTGCCAAAAGAAAGGAAGCGAACTGAAACAGCCACAGAGCAGGGTGTGGTGGTGCATATCTGTAGTTCCAGCACCTGGAAGGCTGAGACAGGAGGCTCTGGGGTTGTGTAGCCGGGGCTACAAAGGAGAATTCCAGGCAAGCTAGACTGCATAGCTATACCCTGTTTCAAAAACAATACAATTAACTTTAAATTTAAATTTAAAAAATAAAGCACCACTGCCGGGTGTGGTGGCACATGCCTTTAATCTCCAGCACTCAGGAGGCAGAGGCAGGTGGATGTCTGAGTTCAAGGCCAACCTGGTCTACATGGCCAGTTCCAGGCCAGCCAGGGCTACAGAGTGAGACCCTGTCTCAAAACAAAATAAGCAAAGAAAAAACCCACCCATAAATACGTAAATAAATCACCATAGAGTTTCCACAGGTGAAGGGTGCAGCGGCAGCGCCAGGTGCCCTTGTGGGCAGCGCCAGGTGGGGCAGAGTAGGGGTGGGGCGCCGGTTGGGGCAAAGTATGAAGGGTAAATACAGGGTGAGGAATTTCAATTTAAATTTCTGAGTAGGGCGCTACAGAAAAGTTTCTGAGTTAAAGAGAAACGCTCGGATTGGCAGGTCTAGCCGCAAAGGTGCTCAAAAATGTGTTCAGTGAGGAAAGGTTTGCAAGACGGTGCCCGAGAAAAAGTAAGCCAGACAGCTCTAAATCCAAGTTAAAGCAGTGGCCTGCACACCGACCTCAGGCTTCGGTGGCGATCCTTTAACCCAGGAGACCCTCGTAGATCTTCCAAAGTAAAAAACTCGGACACCGCGCCCGGAATCAACCAGCAAGAACCGGAAGGGCGAGTCCTCCACCTAACTCCTCGGGTAGAGTAGCAGTGAGGGGCGGTCAGGAAAGACCCCTGCGCGTGGGGGCGAGGAGGAAGAAGGCGGGAAGGAGCGTCTCTGCAACGCGACCCCGAGGGCGTGGGGTGCAAGGTGAGCAGTGCAACGTGCACCCGGGCGGGACCAGGAGTCTCGCAACTCGAGTCCCCGGAGGGCGCGAGGCGTGGGCGGGGCAGGTGGGCTGGGGGGCGGGGTCGGCATTCCTCGGCACATGCGCATCGCAGCGGGCCCGGCGCCGCAAGGAGTGGCACTTTTTAAAAGTGCAGCCCCAGGCCAGCGTGTAGCAGGCGGCACCTCTGTTCAGGGCCTGGTCCTTTTCCCTCTCAGTCGCGCGTGTCTCCAGTTCCACGGCAGTTCAGCCTGCACCATGCCGGTGAAAGGAGGTATCAAGTGCATCAAATACCTGCTCTTCGGATTTAACTTCATCTTTTGGGTGAGTGACTACGACTGTCGCGCGCTTCCCTCCGGAGCCACCTGTCGTCTCTCCCCCTCCCGCCCCCCCCTCCGGTTCCCCAAGACTACCCGCCACGGTGCGTATCCGGGCGGCCGGGTGTGCGGGGACCGGGCACTGTGCGCGCGGGGCGGACTCGGGGCGAAGAAGAAAGGGCGCTGCGGCTGCCATCTGGACGGACGGCCGCGGGCGGGATGGGCTTGTTGGACAGCAAGGCACCCGAATCCCGGAGAGTGAAGGACGCGCGGCGGTCCTGGTGACCTGGGTCCCATCCAACTTCTCGGAGGATTTGAGATGGGGGTCTGTGCTTGCCCCTCCCCAGAGTACGAAAGGGGTAGGCGGCGGGGAGGAACGGAACACCCCTTTTCCGGGATCTGGATACCCTAGTTAGTGGACCGAGCAGTGAGTGCCCCGGGTGGTCCCACGAGTGGCAGAGGACGCGATGAGGGGTGGATGCGGGTGTTCCAAAGGACTTCGCGTCGCAAGCAGGACTCTTGGCACCTCACCGTGGAGAAAAAGCGAGTCGGGGGGGGTCCACCCGGCACCTAGAGGTGGGACCTCCCAGGTTCACCGTCTCCCAGACTGGCGTGAGAACGTCCCCGCCTCCCTCCTAGGTACCTGAAAGACTAGCTTGTCTTGATTCTTTTTCGGGAGCGATAACTATCTTGGCTGGAAAGAACTCTCGGAGAGTTGGAGAGAGTTGGGGAGAGGAAGGGAGGGAGGAAGATGCTTATCATCACCTCTAGGTGGGATGAGTCCTGTGTTTCTGCATTTCCGGGGTAATCAGGTACCGCGAGCTTTGGAGGCCCCGCCCTCCTAGAAATGGCCAGGTGGGGCAACAGGGAATGGCCGTTCACCTAAGACAGGACCCCGGAGTAGGCAGTCAATAGGCACTCACTGCCTCCTCGTGGATAACGCGAATAATAAGTCAGAGAAAGAGGCAGATAGTCAGTGTCCACTCCCAGAGAACTCAGAAACAGCAAGAAGTCACAAGGAACTTTGTGTCTGCTTCAGAGAGGGCACAACCCCTCCCCCAAATGGATAATATTTGCTCCTGGGCAAGCAGGAAAGGGTTTAGCCAGGCAACTCCTGTGTCACCAACCCTCCAGAGATGGAAAGGAAAACAGGTGTGTGCCACCAAGAGCTTGCAACAACAACAGCAAAAAAAGTGCAGTATTCCTCTTGGAGCTGGCCACTGGAGTATCTACCTCAGTGAAAGTAAGGTTTCAGACTCTTCTGAGGTGGTTCTGTAGTCCACAGAGACTGGACTGGTGTTCCAGGAGTCACCACACCCATACAAATTTATGAGGATGGCAGAGGGGTAGGCATTCCCTCCTGGTGTTCCCCATCAGCTCTGCCAGGATTGACTCAGCTCGGCTCAGTCACCAACTAGAATGCCACAAAAGAAAGTCTGGAGGCAGCTGCCCCACCCTGCCCTTTGGGGAGTTTTCCTCTGTTCCCTAGCTGTCTTTCTCCTGCCAGTCTGTTGGTTAGTCCCCAGCTGTCTGCCTAGACTTGCATGAAGCTTTGGGGCTAGGGGAAGCCACATAGTGCCACAGCATTCTGGTGTCCCCCATCTGCCCCAATGGCATGTGAGGGAGGCTGAGGGGAGGTGCCCATGGTACCCCATGTCTACTCAGTCTGCTCAGTGGTTGCCTGCTGGCCTGCAATCTGTCCATCTTGTCTCCTGCCTGCCAGTCCACTCGTATCCAGAGCTCCCTGCCTGGGCTAGAGAGACACTGTTGGTTAACTATGCCACCTGAAACAGAATCATCTCGCTCTGGAAGGGGTTTGGTTTTAAAATTGGGAATGACTTTTGAGACTGTGTGCCAATTGTGGATGCCAACTCTCTTCTTCACAGTGAGGAAGCAAAGACCAGGGGTAGTGATTTACCCAGGATCATAAGCTGATCTGGTACTACATCTACTAGGACCCTCGCTTTCCTTCTGTCCTCTATCGCTATTGCCATTAGGGACGTGGGCAGTTTCCTGAATTCATTATTATTCACCTGTCCTGTGTTGGGGTTCTCTAGAGTCGAAGCCCTCATTCTTTAAGAGATGAAATAGCAGCTGGCTTTGGTTGTTGGGTGGGAATGGAAGAAGGATGAGTTGAAACTCCCCAAAATATCTTTTATGACAATCTTGGGACTGCTGAGATTATTATGATGTCACCACTTCGCTCTCTTGAGACCAAGGATTTAAAAACTTGGTATTGGAAACCTGATGCGGGCCTTGAAAAACAGGGGCCCCCATCTTACACAGGGAGGTTGGGAGTGGGGGGCTGGCAGGGATCGAAAGAGAAACCAGCCTTAGTTGCAGCGAGGGGTTGTGGGGAGAACTGGAAAGGGGCTATGGCTCCTTCCCAGTCCCGCACACGTCCCCTGTGGGTCACTCCATGAAGGCTGAGCCTATTCAGCCTGCTTTCCTCAAGGGGGGTGCCAACATCCCACATCCAAGCCCACAGTCTGTTTTTCCAGTATCCTCAGAGCCAAACCTCCCAAGCCTATTTTGGTTGTTCCTGAATTTCCTTTAGGCCTCCCTGCCTATCCTGTCACTACCTCAAAAAAAAAAAAAGAGAGAGAGAGGGAAAAACATCTTACTGTCTGAGTGACAGGCAACACAAGTATTTCAGGCTATAATGCCAGGATGAGCCTTGGGCCAGTAATGTACCTTTTTCCTTTTTTTTTTTTTTTTTTTTTTTTGTTTTGGGTTTTTTTGCTTCTCTTTCTTCATCTTAACCATCTAGCAAATACTGAGCCTGCATAGTGAGGACTTTGTACTTTTCAGCTCAGGCAAAGGAGGGGACAGATTGGCTCCACTGAGAGGCAGACCCTGCCCATCCCCACCCTCTGTTCCTTTAGCACTGTCTTTTACCCCTTACCAGTCCTTAAGTAAGGATAGAAACAGCAGAGGGATCCTCTTCCTCAAGAAGAGTTGTTATCTTGACCTAATGGAAGCTGCTTAGAAACATGGACAGAGAGCAAGACCGGGATTCAGAGGCCTGGGTGTGAATGCAGCTTTGTCCCCAGCTAGCGTGGAAACCGTGGGCAGGTCACTTTTCTGATCCAGATCTCAATTTCCTTGTAAAATCCATGAGTTGGAACAGTTGGTCTCAAAAGATCCTTTTAAACTTGACCTATAAAACTAACCCCCAGCCTCAATCAACCTACTCTTCTAGCAATAAGAGTTTAGATAAGAGTTCAGAGATGGAAATGTACTGTGGGTACCAAGGCTTGTGCTTAGAACTTGCCTCCCCTTGACCTTATACTTTGGAGCAAGAACCTGTTTCCTGGATCTTTCCTGTTCGGGTTTTCTCCCCTCACTCCGTGTCTGGGGGTTCTGTTGTCATTGCTGCATTAGCCTTTTGTGGTCAAAGCACCAGCCCTGGATTCAGTGCCCTCATCCCCACGTTACATTGCCATGAGGGTTGAATGAGTGTATGCAATGCATTTATTGCAGAAGCCTGGTGGTAGATGAGTGTCAGTGTCTACCTGTAGTTCTTCACTAGACCAAAGTGGATTGAGACTGTGGAGAGGGTGGAAGTGATGCCCTGAAGAGTGTGGATGTTTAAACCACAGATTAGTGCAACTCCCACGCTGTGCAGCCTTCCGTCTTTTCCACATCTCTCTGCATCAGTGCCAGCTTCGTTCTCCCCAGCAAAACACTGACTCCATTTCATATGTTGCTACATGTCTGGATGAAGGAGAAAGGGGCAGCAAAAGAAAATAAAACTGCAGGACAGAGGATTCTAAGGTATCGGGATTCAGGGCTGGACAGGATGTGGATGGGTGGATGGCAGTGGCAAGAGCCCCTCCTTACCCTTCCTGCTGCCTCCCAAAAACTATTTGGCTTGGATGTTGGGCTGAGCTGTTGCATGAAATGGCTTCCCACAGAGTTCCTGGGCTGGGGTGACACTGCCGTACTTGTACTGGAGCTGGTAGGTTAGGGAGAAGGTGAGCTGAAGCCAGGTGTCACACTGATAAGGAAAACATACCTGTATCCTGCCTGGATCTTTGATTTCTCCCCCACCCCAGCCATGGCTGCCAACCAAGATCAGGAATCCCGGTCTCTGGGTGGCAATGAGAATTGGATTCCTGTGCACACACTCAGACTTGCTCTCAGCACACACCCACACTTACTCTCACACACTCTACCTCTGTTTTCAAAATGGCCAGTGGCAACATTCCAAACCAGGGAAGCAGCGGGCGCTGGTTACTGTTTACCCCCTCCCAACTTGGACAGGCTTCGATAAGCAGCCTTTTGGGGGTGGCTGGTCAGTGGTGACAACCCTAAATGAACCTTCTAAGCTCACAAATTACCATTCTCACCCCTTTCTTTAAGAGGCTGTCTTCTGCTTAGGCCCGTGTGTCCTGGGGTATAGTTCTGTTTTCTGGTTCTATTCAGGTTTTATAAGTAAGAGGCTGTCTTCTGCTTAGGCCCGTGTGTCCTGGGGTATAGTTCTGTTTGTTTTCTGGTTCTATTCAGGTTTTATAAAGACGTGTGGTCTCTGGAACTGGTCACACAGTTTGGCGCCTAATAATACCTTGGATTTACAAAAGCACCTTTTCTTCTATACAACACATATAGACTTGGATGGTTTTGCCTGAGTGTTTCTGGCTGTGAGGAAGGACCCCTTAAGGTTATGGGGTTTCCATGATTTCTTGGGTCCTGTTAACCACCTTGTGTGCCCCAGGTAAACCTGTGTGTAGTTGGGTCAGAAGGACCTTAATGGACCTGTTAAGATTTTTTTTTGTTTTATTTTGTCATGCTGGGAATCAAACCCATAGCCTCATACACGGTAGGAAAGTACTCTACCACTGAAGCTAAAGCTGTATTCCCAGCTCTCTTACATTTGTTTTTGTTTTTTAGCCACAGCTTTGCAGAAGTGGGCTTTACATATAGATGAGCCACAACTTTGTAGTTTTAGGGGCCGAAAATATCCAAGGCCATGGACTGCCAGAAGTACAAGACAACTGAGGAGAT